CAATTAAGAAGTCACCCTTGGAGCAGTCCTCTGAGCTGTGCTGCAGACCAGCCAAGGAATGGAAGGGACAGTACGACAGGTCTGCCAGGGCACAGGACGCTCCTCCTAAGGTGGGATGCAGTGAGGCTCTGCCCAGGAACAAGAGTCCACCTCTGGCAGATCATGGCCCCAGAAGGGATGGAGCCGGGAAAGGGTTGAAAGTGTTAAAACCCACAAATAAGGCACACATCTCATTTGGGGCGATGGTGTGTCTGCCCATCCCTGAGAGCCCTTCATTGCTACAAGTGTTCAGGAGGTAAATACATTTTTAGTCTAACCAAATGAGATAAATCATGGAAAAAAGGGTTTAGTCTCCTCCCCACCTTTCTGTCCTTGACCCCAGGGCCAAGATCCTTACAGGTAACAGGTGAGCAGAAGGAGGAGACACTGATACTCATGCCTTTCTCTTCTTCCCCATCATGGGCACGGTGAAGGAAAACATACGATAGGATGGAGTTTAGGGCGGAAAGGGGTCTCAAGAGATGATCTAGAGTGGCCACATGGCCCAATGGAGCAGACTGCCCCTGGGTTCAAATCCAAAATCTACCCTTTACTAGCTGTGTGATGTCAGACAATTCACTTAACCTCTCTGTTCCTCAGTTTCCTCACCCATTCCAAATGAAGATGATGATAATACCTCCCTCACAAGGTTCCTGTGAGAATTAAGAAATACGCAAGTGTTTGTAGGTATTATTACCATCATAGGCCTTTGGGCTGTATTGATCCACGTTCTCATTGCCAGAAGTGTGTGGCACTCTTCTGTCTATATAAAGAAGACTTCTAAAAGAAGCCATAGCACTTAAATTTCACAGATGAGTTGAAGCTAAAGCTAGGTTAGTCTGTGACAACTATTCCCCCAACCAGAAGTGGGGCCCAGTTGCCTCATCCAGCCAGGACCCTTCCTCCAGTTAATCACACTCACTCTCCTGTCCTTTTTTGCCTACTCGTTGTCGTCTGTTATTCATTCTTCTCTTTGTGTCCTCTCAGCATTTGGCTACCAAGAATCAGTACAATCATCCATACCCATCCCATTCTCCTGTCCCAAACATCTGGCCTAGGACTGCCTCAGTTTCAGGCCCCAGAAGCCCATCATGGGAAGTACAAGGTCTGGAGGGCTCCCCGGCCCAACCGCCTCTAACAAGGAGGTTACAGCAGATGGATTCCTCTCTGTGGTCGACTATTTCCCATGGCCCTTAGCCATGTGACCTCGGACCATGATCTTGTCAGTTCTCATAAACTAACCAGGAGTGGGCTGAGTCACACGCAGAGAGGAAACCTCTGGGGGAAACAGCGGGAGCTGTGGGAGGAAGGAGAGCAGGCTGGGATCCCAAAGGCCATGGGAGCCTCAACCCACCTCTGAGCTGCTTTGACCTTACATGAAGGGAAGGAGGAGGAGGCAGTGGACTCCGGAGGCAGGCTGGGCTCTACGAGGGCTACTCTTTTGAATAAGATTTGGGGACTCCACCCAAGAGACTAATTGTCCCCAAGACCTCCCACTCAGAGATACCGCCTGTGTTGGCCACTCATTGAACCCTTGGTTGTTAACACCCAAGTCTCTATTTTTAGGAGCCTGATATCATCATAATGAGATAAACCAGCTGACACTCACACACATGCACATGTCCCCACACCCAATGCTAGCTCTCGACATCCTGCGGGAGGTCAGGTGAGGAATACTGGTGAGAGCATTGAAGTAAGCCACTATAGGCTCTTGGTACCAGGTTGATGGTAAAGATATTCTGCGGATGCTTCTGAAGTGTTTACATTATGCCAAACGCAGATTAAACTGAAAATGAGGTGCCAATGAAATCTTCATATTCCCCAATATCCTGAAATTGGGTGTTGCATAAACAAAACTCTGAGTTTCTCTGTCTAATTTTTCTTTACTTTAAACACTCTTTGAATTTCAAAGTTGTGTGTCTCCGTAGCTTTGGTCAAGAGTTACCTTGAGTTCTCTGACAAGTTAATGCATTGTTAGAGAGGTGATTACTGAGTAAAATACACACATGTAAACAAATCCTTTAACTATGTATATGTTGTAATTACTTTCTGGACATTCATTCTACTAAATCTTAGGGAGAAGCATATATGTACATGTGTCCAAGAGTACAGCACACACATTTATGCATACACAAAAACATGGGCACAGCATTCTATTTTAAGAGTCTGAAGTCTATCTTTCAACAAAGTTTAGCTGCTTTCCTTTTGCAAATGCATTTAATTTTATCTGGAAACTTTTTGACGTTAGAAATAGAACAACTGTAGTTTCTCATTATGTTTGCTGCCAGAATCCATGCTTGGTTGCTCAACTAAAGACCTTATATTGCTAATTACTACCACATGCCCATATCCCAAGCGAAAGAAAACTTATTGATTCTGACAGCCCATTCTCTCAACACTGAATTCCAAATGAAAACTCAAATTTTGGCCAAACATAACATTTCATCAATCTTGTTCTACTAACTGGAAAAACAACATCAAACAAAGGGAGCTAATGGCCCTTTATTACCGTTCCTTTCCCAAGCTTATATTTTCTGATGAAAGATCTAAGTGACCAAAAGGCTTCTTTAAACTACTTAGTAATTAGCTTTGAACCAGGAAACAATGCCTAAAGTGAACAGTCCCAGTGTTGATGACAGAACCGACTCGCTGTCCACAGGGTTGAGGGACACTGGAGACCCAAAGAGAAGATTAAAAGCAAAGTGTGCATTTTCATAAAGAGAGAAGAAAAAAAGAGAGAGAAAAAACCAGGCTAAAAGCGGTGATAAAAGATTACAGAGATGGACCCAGAACAAAAGTTGAGGGAAGTCTATGATCTGAAGTCAGCAGCACGTGGCACTTTGAGTGGAAGCGTCAAGGCAAAAAGATGACTGAATCAGACCAGGGGCCATGAGCAAGCACTAGTCAGAGGGCCTTCTCTGGATCACGCGTCAACAAGAGCTTCCAGCCACCAGGCCCACCCACATTTGACTAGAGAAAGTATTTTGGGGGAAAAAATTTTACTTGGAATGAGAGTCAAAAAATATTTTCAATATAGACTCCCGGGAAACTGATTTTATTGACTTCTTCAGGGCCAGTGATAAGAAAATGCTGGCTAAGACAGTGGGTAGGAAGGCCATAAAGAGCCCAGCCCTCAGAATGCCTTCTGCTTTATGGCAACCTGTCCACACCTTAAAGGCAAAATGAACAGAGAAGCTGTTTTCCTCTTGGCATGGAACAAATGACCAATGGGAATCTCTGGACCTATTTGGCCTTTTGGATCCAACCAATGGCCCAGAACTCAGAACAGCTTGGTTCTAATCTCATGCAGGGCTGTTAAGATAATAGGAAGAGGAGGGCTCCATTAGAGGGAAGGTGGAGGAACGTGCTGCCTCCATGGGAAAGATGCCAACTGGCCTCCTCTCACCCACTGTCCTCTGTTCCTTTGAAAGGAAACTGCTGTCCTGTGGGTAGTTCAAGAAAACGAGGGTTTTTTCCACCTCCTCATTTTCTGAACGGAGGACTGGACACCTGAGCTCAGGATGCACTGGAATTACCGACAGGAGGGGAGGTTCGCTCCATCTAACATGACTGTCAGGCAAAGGAGGAACGGTGATGGAGAGAAATGTGATGCTACTGGTCTTATTCTCTCTTAAAAAATACAATAGACTATCCAAGAGTTCATTTGAAAATGAATGGGGGAAAAAAAATAACTAGTTCCCTGTATGGAGCGTCCATGACTGGGAAGGGGCATGAGTGATAAAAATATTCTACATCGTGATCTGGTGGTAGTTACTGGGTGCGTACATAGGTATATATTCCTCAAGCTGCACATTAAAGATGTATATATCTTACTCTATGGCAGTTAAAACAAAAATTCAAAGTCAAAAACCAAAAACCTCAAAAACAAAAACAAAGCTGAGTGCACAAGAAGAAACTTTGAAAAAAAGGTCAAGCATGGTTGCTGCCAGCCCTGCCTCCCTCCAGCACTCTCCTCGCAAGATGGCGCTCTAGCAGAGAGGGCAGAGCGGTAAGATCCTGCCGTTTACTTAGGAGTAAAACTTCTGGTTGATAATGGACCCACATATTGATATTAACAGTGATAAAGCGATCTGAGCACAAATTAAATAGTCCCCAAGAAGAAAGCATTCATGTATGGGGAGCCAAATAAAGACTCATCAAGAAGAATGTGTAGTGCCCTGACATCCCATAAATGTGCTATTTCTTGCCCAGAAGGGATTTCAACTAACTAATAGTCTCTGTGAGGACAAGCTGAGTGTCTCCTGGCTAAAGAGAACTGGTTTCCTGTGGCCACAATGCCTTACAGTTGGCAAGATGACCTTGATCTCGCCTTCCCCAGGACTTCCCTGCTGGAGTATGAGCCCATGTTGGTGCTGCACAAAAACCCCAAAGGATGTCATTACATTAGTCTGAGGGACCAGAACGTAACATTCGTAACAACAGCCACTTGGTGTGAAGAATGAATCAGCTTGGTTTAGGGATCAGAACAGAAAATATGGGCCCAGCGACATACGGACCCCTTCAAGGATAAATCCATTATGTCTCTTGGAAAGATGGGTGGGGAAGAAAGCTGTGAATGGGAACAGGCCTAAGGAGTTGACCATGTGTGACAACTTCCTAGGTAACTTCTGACCTCACACCCCATGCAGAATGTGGCCCTTCCCTCACAGAAGCAGCGAGTGGGGCGGGAGAAGGGCAGGATTCAGGTATCATCGCCAGAGGGACTCTTGAAAGTCACTCAACCACATCTTGTCTGATGCAACTGACTTACTTTCTGCCTCCATGTTTGTTAAAAGTCCCGCCGAATTTATTCCGATTCAGGATGAGAGCAGCAATTTCGGGCACGTAGCGGGCAAACATTGCCTACATGCATGAAACAAAGAAACAAGAGCCAAAAAAAAAATGGCATGCAGAGAGGATTCTACCACAGGGGAGGCAGCAAAACCTCTTGGCATACTTACTTTCTTCCACTAACCGCACTATAGGAGCCCCCGTATTTCTTGCGGTTGCCTATTAACTCTATGATTTCAGGGACGTAGCTGGCAAACATGGCCTGAGGAGAAGATAGGAGACAGAAGAGAGACTAAAAAGACAGGCCAAAGAAAGGGGGAGACCTTTTCAGAAGGGGGGATACTAAGATCTGAAAACACAAGAGGATTAGAACTGCAAAGGTATACATTAATATGTTGAATTATAAAAAATTAAAGCACAAAAAGGTCAAGCTCCTGAAAATACACAGGACAAAACAAACATCAGCCAACCTAGACAACTGAAAAAAATCACAGTTGAGAAAACTACAAGGGAGACAGAAATAAATAAGCTGACATCTACTTCTGCCTGAAGAGAAATAAGTGAAGGGGGTGCATGCTGAAATCACACACACACACATCAGTACAAGAGGAGACCTTTCTTTCTAGTTAAAACTCAAAGGAAAGTCAATGCCTTTATGAGTGATTAAAGACAACAAACACCAAAAGGAGATTAAAAAAATATTAAACTTTTCCATTCAAAAAAAATCGCTAAAAAGCACTAGAGGTAAATCTAGGAAACCACATAGGAGGAAGGGACAGCGAGGAGAAACACAAACCTGCCATGTTTCGTCCAACAGACATTGTGCTCGTGGCGGATAAATGGGTCTCCTTATCTACAAGGACCTCATAGATGCTGAGAAAATGTTCGCCTTAATGTACATATGCACATGGACATTTATATACATTTTCAAATGTATATGTCATATGCATACAAAGAAGAGACGTGTATGCATAATATAAATGCTTGTGCAGTGTACATACGTGAAAGCTGTGCATGAATCAGGATTTTAATCACTTACCTCACACACAGCAAAAAGCTAAACTTAAAATGAGCTACTTTGAAAGATAAAATGCAGCAACTGCCAATGTGTTGCCAGAAGTCCCCCTTGAAAATTAAACCATAACAGACCATGATGATCTGTATAGACCAGAAAAGCAAATAGCAAAACTCTGTGACTTAGAATGGGGGAGGAAAATATCTCACGTGTTGCTGCATATGGAGTTTGCCAGCTGTTTACAAATGCGTCCTCAGCTCATGTGGTGACGTCCACCTGGACGTGACCAGGAGGCTGTCTATCTTCTGACGCGGGACTCGAATCTTGAGGGCAGGCTTCAGCCACAGTGTTTGTTGGAAGTTTGGGGAGGACCATGAAGGGGCTGTGGGAGCTCTTAAAACCGCAAACTGTCTACAGAATATGGGCAGCATCTATCAGGTCAGGTGACAGCCACTGCCCTTGCAGAATATCAGATGCTGAGTTACATTACTAAGGGACAGACACTCTCACTTAATAAGCAAGCATCACTTCCTTAAGACAATTAGATTTTCTCTTGGCTAAATGGCTGTCCCTGACAGGGGCAATCTGCCTAAGTCTCTGGGAAACAATGTAATACACTAAAGACATATGCAGAAAAGTCACCATCGCATTTGGATCCACTTGACTTGATTGTAACACTAAGGCAATCACTTGCTTCCAACGCAGAAACACAATACGAAAATTCAGAGTTTTCAGGAAATGAATAATAGAAAATATTAACGACCATGAAATCAAGAGCATAATAAAGAGTTTTTACCAGTCCCCCGAGGATGAAGAAGACCATGAAGAGGCGCCCGAGTGTGGTTTTTGCATAAACGTCCCCATAACCAACAGTGGACATTGTGACCATGAGTAAATAGACACATTCCCAGTATGTGAGAGCCTGGTTGTTTTGGAAATTTTCCCATGGGTCCCCTGAATTCTCCACCTAAAGCAAGGAGAAAGGGAGAAAAAGGAAAATGTTATATATACACAATAAACCAGGAACAGAAAAGCTCAGGACACGCAGCCCCCTCAACACAAGGGGTCTGCTGCCTGGGCCAAGTCCTGTAAGTGACGGCTCAGAACCCCCAGCAGGTCAGAGAGAGTGGAGTGGTCAGAACACAGACAAGCCTGCCTCGCTGTCTCGGGCAGAGAGGGAAGGAATGGAGGGAGACATCCTCGACTGTTTTTCTTCTCATGAAAATTTTGAGGCCAGCTGAATTTTAGGGCATTGCCTCTGGCCATGTTTTACAGCCTTCTCTTCACAGAAAGAGCCTGAGAGCCCTGCCCCACCCTTTCTCTGAGACTTCCTGCTCCATATCTAAAGGCCGAGGTCAGGGGCTCCCAAAGAAATCCTAGACCCTCCCACAGAGGGCCCCTGTCTTTCATCATTTTGACCAAGGAGACGCCTGGTGGGCCTCGCTCCTTCAGATCTCATGGCCGAACCCCAAACAGCACCTCCTGGAGTCTGACTCTGCTCTCCCTGCTTTGCAGAATGTCCACAATGATTCTATCCTGCACACCGCAGGAATTTCCCCGGGGAGCAGGAAAAGTAAGCTCATGAGAACAGTTTGCATTTGCACAGTCTTTAGACTGAGGGCCACCAAGCTTTTTCTGTAAAAGGCCAGACAGTAAATATTTTCAGCTTTGTGGCCGATAGTTTCTGATCTCTGTAACAACAACTCAAGGCTGCAGTTGTAGCACGAGATCAGCCAGAGTCAATACTTAAAGGATGGGCGTGGTCAGGTTTGAGGAGCCTCAGCCCCAGGGTTGTAGTTGGCCCATCTCTGCTTTAGACTTTACGAAACACTTCCTTTCCTCTCATCACACTTGACCTGCCAACAAAGCTGTGAGGCACCTAGGAGAGGTACTTTAGCCACTCTCAGGAGAGAGCGGGAGACGGGGGCTGGATCTCCAGGTCTACCCCAGATCACAGCCCTACGATATATACCAGATGGCCAAGGCCTATGATCCCCGAGCACGGCCCCAGGCCCCCAGGCCTACAGCTCTGCCTCTGCAGAAAGTTTCCAGGACCCGGCCTGTTCCACACATCAGTATTTGTCCTCACCATGCCATTTTCGTAGAGATTTCCTGGTGAAGCAGAAGGTACTTTACCAGGGGAAGTACCAGGTGGGGTCACTGGGCTAGTGAATACAACTAAGCCCTCTCTATCTGTGATTTGCGCACTTGACAGAATTAGGGCGATTATCTAAGGGTGATTTCAGCCAAGAATCCCGCTAGCAGAAAGTGGGGCGGGGACGACCATCAGATCCAGTGACTGAATGTGAGCCCCGGCTTCCAACCCAGGCTATCTTCCTTTGGATGATAACTACAGAAATCCCAGGGGTAGGTAACTAAATGCATCCTCTAAGCCTTAAGCAGAGAGAGGCTCGGCAAGGGAAGGGTACCTTTACTCAAAGCTTCAGAGTTAGCTGAGGCTCCTTCCAGTTGTAACAGTTTGTGTTTGGATGAAATGTGCTTCCGACAATCGCTATGTTCCCTAAAAGCAGAAAGAAAATCTGCCTTGGGAGGTTAAGAACAGCTTGACTTAATGATATAAGGCTTTCAAAGAGTTATTAATTTAAAGGAATTAATATTTTTGAGATACAAAATAACTTGACAAGTAATCAAGCAAAAGGATCAAAGGTAGCTTTTCGTAAGGGGAAGGTGGAGAGAAACTGAAGGATGTGAATTTGTTGTTTACTGAGAGATGTGGGTCAAACTTCCAACCTCGTCCCCAGGCCTTTTCATGTGTTTGCTGAGGAAGCACTGCCATCTTGTGGCTCATTGGGGTTATTGCAGACAGAATGAAAAATCTACCAAAGCCCCAGGGGCAATACCAGTGCACTGACAAACGCAGGTTAACAGTGTGAACATTGCTCACCATTTGGAACTAGTTTGGGGTAAAAGGGTTGGAAACCCAGACAATTGTGCAATTGCTTCTCCTTTTCCTACATTCTACAGCTGGGCTGAAGTTTCTCTCCAGGGAGAAAAATTTCAGGTAATAAAATGACTGAGAGAGGGGTTTGTTCCAGAAAAGCCAGAGCTAAAGCATCTGCAAAGACACTTACCAAATGGATGAACCCGGCTGCTGTTAGCCACGTGCTGATAAATATGGAGAGCAGATTCACCAGCTTGATGGAATTACTGTGCAAAAGAGACAACAAGCAAAATCCCCAAGTTACACAAGACCGTGGCGGGGCTGCTTCCACAGTGACGATGCCCCCTAGGGGAGAGGCAATCCCCCCTCACTCTGCAGTGTTTTCTCCATTGTAGGGGGATACCCAGAAGGCCAGAGCCTAGAGGAAGAGTACATCCGGGCTACTGAAAATGCTCCCTAAATTAACCCCTCCAATTGTGCGTAGATTTTTTTTAAATTAACTTTTATTTAAAAATTTTTTAAATCTACAGAAGTATTGAAAGAACAGTGTAATGAACACTTGTATGCCCTTCACCTAGATTGATCAACATTTTGCCATATTTGCTTTATCTCTATTCTTTTTCTTTTTCTTTTTTGTTTTTTGAGGAAGATTAGCCCTGAGCTAACATCTGCTGCCAATCCTCCTCTTTTTGCTGAGGAAGACTGGGCCTGGGCTAACATCCACGCCCATCGTCCTCTACTTTATATGTGGGACACCTGCTACAGCATGGCTTGCCAAGCGGTGCTGTGTCCACACCCGGGATCCGAACTGGTGAACCCCGGGCCAACGAAGCAGAACATGTGAACTTTGCTGCACCACCGGGCCAGCCCCTATTCTTTTTCTTTCATTTTATCTTTTTCTAGTCTTTCTCTTCTTTTGGCTGACCCATTTACAGTACAAGTACGTTGCAAACTACATGAGACACCCCCTCAATACTTCAGCATTCAACACCTAAGAAGGACACTGTGCAACACGATCACATACGATTGTCACGCCTAAGAAAGTGAACATGAATTCCATAATGTCATCTAACAAGCACTCTTTATTTAAATGTCTTCAGTTGCCCTGAAATTATGTGTATTGGTGTTTTCATTTCTTCACCCTGATCCAGGAACTAATCGAGGTTCATGTATTGCATTTGGTTATGATGCTGCTTTAGTCCAGGGGTAAAGGACAGATAGTAAATATTTTAGGCTTAGCAGGTCATAGGGTCTGTTACAATTACTCAACTCTGACACTGTAGCATGAAAACAGCCTTAGAGCACATGTAAAGGAATGGGTGTGGCTGTGTTCCAATAAAGGTTTACCTAGAAAAACAGGCAGTGGGCTAGATTATTCATGGGCTGTGTAATTCGCCAATCCCTGCTTTATTTCCCTTAATCTATAATCTGCCCCCTGCTCTTTTTGTTCTTTTTTAATGACATTTACGTTTCTGTGCACCCAGGTCAGCTGTCTTATAGAAGGTCCCAGATTCTGGATTTGTCTGATCGTTCCCCCATGATTAGATTCTGTATAAATTCTTCTGTTATGAACATCTGGCTAGGATGGCGTCACATCTGAAAACCCTAACTCAGTTGCTTGATTCAGGTAGGAACATCAGATTTTGCCACTGAAAGGCATCCATTTCCCTTCATAATTAATGTGTCAACCGTGCAGTGACACTCTGAGACTATATGAATATTTTGTTCCCCAACAACCTTATATCTAATAATTTCAGTATCCACCCGTGTTCCTTGAGTGGCTCAGTTGGAACTCACTAACTCTGTATCCTGGGAGCAGTGAGTCCCTGGTGCATAGTAGGGCCTCTATGAAAATGTACTGATGCTAACTGGTCTCCTCCTTGGTACTCTTCCCACTAAACTTCACCCTGTTCACCCCGACTGGGGTATAGCTCCTTGAATGCTACTGTCAGCAGGTCACTTCCCCATCCAAAGGCTCCCTTCCACCTAAATGTTATGTCCAAACTCTCTCCTTTCATCTTCAACACCCACTGAGGTCCCAGGCTCACCTACCATAAGCTCTTGGAACTCTCATCACAGCCAAACTTATTTACTATGTCTACATTTATGCTATTACTCAGCTGGAAAGCCCTGTCCATTTATCCAAATAGTTCCCTCTCTTCAAAGCCTGGTTCAATCCCCACCTCCTCCTTCAAGTGGTTCCACCCACCTGCCATACAGAGTGACTTCTCCTCGTGGCTCTGACCTGCAGGTACTCATTGGTAATGGATCCCACTGTTTTAAGACATCTTTCGTAACGTTGTTTTAGATTGCTGTTTGACTCTTGTGTCCCTAACTGCATCTTGCAGACAAGAACTCTGGGTTCTACCTCTTTCAGTCTCCCCAGAGTGGCCTAACAGCCCACAGTGGGGTGCAGCCCGTCATCATTGATTGATTGATCTCTGCCCTCTCCCACTTCCCTCTCAAGGGGAACCAACGACGTGAATTCTAAGAGTCTATGCTCACAGTAATAGGAAGGGCTAACACTTTTACGGTTCTTTTACAGTGCTTGCCATATGCACCACAGTGCTAAGTGCTTCATGCATATTAACTCTTCTAACCTTCACAACCTCTCTATGAGGTCATCCAGAGGTTAAGAAATTGACCCAAGTTCACACAGAAAGCAGCCGAGTTGGCATCTGAACCCAGGCAGTTTGGCGGCAGAGTCTGCCGTCTGGGCCACCACACTGCAGAACAACAGTCACAGACCGGCATCCATCAGAAAGTCTTTCTTGATCGTGAAAGCAAAGCTGCGCCTCCCCCACAGTCTGCGCACAGGATGTCAAAAAGGTCAGAAAGCGCTGCTCCAAGGAGGAGGGAGACAATCTCGACATATTGATCACCCTCTTGAACTGCCACAGAAAAGAACGGAAAGGAAAAACTCTGCTAACTACGTCTCTATGGGGGCCACATGTGGAGGAATGCAGGAAGAGGCTGTAGTGGGCCAGGCAGCCCAGGGGTTGGAGGAGGACCCCTCAGAGGAGGTCAGGGTCAATGGTTCGAGGACAGGCACGATGCCAGAGCCCAGCTTTCCTTTCTCTTCAATCTTTTTTCTCTTAGTAACTGAGCAGAGGAACCCACGGTCTTAGTCTCCCAGAGTTGGTTCTGACAGTCCAGGGAAAGAAACAGCAGGTATTCTCAGTTTTGTGGGTGAGACTGATCTTTTGAAATGTGTGGAAAAACCTCCTTCTGGTTCAAAAACAGACTAGAAAAACAACAAAGATGTCCATTCTGTCTTTCTTGGTCATTTCTAGAGTTTCCAGATTATAATAATTGTCAATATTTATCAAGCTTTGTTATCCTTTAGGCACTGTGTTGAGTTCTTCATTTTCTTCAGAGTTTTACCATCTATCCTTGGATATAGATACATCATTGGTCCCACCAACTAGATAAGGAAACTGAGGCTTAGTGTGCTTAAGAAGCTTCCCAAGGACACATGGTTGGTAAGTGGTGGGGTCAATATTCAAACCTGAGAGCATCTGATCCAAAGGCTGCTCACCTAAAGCCTTGGGAGAGGCAGTACAGAGGAGCCATGTGGACCACTGGTTTCTATCACTCTTTCTACAGCTCTTCCTCAAGGACAGCCCTGTGGATGCGTTGGGTGTCAATCAAAGGTCCCCACCTCTCCCTCTACCCAAGTGGCCTGAGCCAGGCTGGCCAGTGGAGGAACTCCCAGCTCTGAAGAGCTCCGAGGTAGGGCTTATCAGAGACATTTTTCAGAAACTGAATGGGAGAGAGAGATTTGGGTGTAAAAAAACATAAGCCTGGAATGCTAGAGGGCCACCTGCCCTGGAGAAAGCCTGCCTGAGAGGGAAACTCCAAAGAGACAGAGAGAGAGACAGAATCCGGATGAGAGAATCTGAACCCCTTGATCTAGACATGCCTAGTTCCCCCTTGGACCTCCAGTCATTACCAAGGCTAGCTTGAGGTGGACTTATCACTTGCAATTAAAAGTCATCTGCTTATGGGGCTGGCCCTGTGGCCGAGTGGTTAAGTTTGCGCGCTCCGCTGCAGGCGGCCCCGTGTTTCGTTAGTTCGAATCCTGGGCGCGGACATGGCACTGCTCATCAGACCACGCTGAGGCAGCGTCCCACATGCCACAACTAGAAGAACCCACAACGAAGAATACACAACTATGTACCGGGGGGCTTTGGGGAGAAAAAGGAAAAAATAAAATCTTTAAAATAAAAAAAAAAGTCATCTGCTTATAATGGAAGGGACTGATATCCAAAATGCTCTCTGAGAACCTAACAAGGGATCAGGTCTATGAAGTAGATCTGGGACTCTCCATCTGAGTAAGGAGGGCAGATCCTGTATGACCCACTATTGTGCAATTAGTTCTGTGGCTCTGGAAGCTCTGCTATGAATCTGGCATTTACAAAGGAAAGCACACATCCGGCAAACCCTGGCCTTGGTCTCCTTTTCCAGACACTACCATGGGCCACGTTAGCACCACCTCACCTCTAAATGTTTTCTATAGCTGTGAATGGAGATCACCAACTGACAAAATAATGTTTAAAGTCTTCCATCTAAGCCTCTCCTTAGAGCTGAAAGATACCGTAACTCTTGCCTTTCTGTTCCCTGGAGCAGCTGACCAGCCCTGGAGGCCTAATCAATGGCCTTCTAGGGTCTTTTTGTTTGGAAGGACACCCCCCCACAACCAGAGATTGGAGGAATGGAAGTAAGACACATAGATATAAGGCATCCACCAAACGAGCTGTATCAGGTGAAGCAACCCTGGCAATCGATAAGCTGAACATTGTTGTGGCTACATCCCCACCACATCCTGTCGCCAACTAGTTCTCAATGGGGAGTCAAAATAGAGTGAAATCCTCCTGCCTCTACCTGCTAAGCCCTCCACGGTGTGCTCCAACACAAATGATGAGGAGCAGGTGGCTGGTGGCAAATGGAGAAATCTCAGGGAAGCATGTAGTGTTCACTTTCTCAGACGATAATTAAGTACCAGGTTGCTTCACTTATATACTCCCAGATCCTTGGGGCCTAAACAAAGCAGTGTCCCAACAATAACCATGTGGAGCCCTCTTGAGAGATGAAAACTATTGGAGTCTCTGAGCCTCTTGGTGCTTTGGAAAAATGACCTAAATACGGTGGTGGTTATTAATCTCTAAATGATTGTCACAGTGCTGGTAATAGTGCTTAAGGGAGCTCTTGCTGTGCGTAGAACATTTAATCATGGTTGCTGAAAGGGTCCATATTCAGCACTGAA